TCCCCATGTCTCCTCATGTCTCCACATGTCTCCACATGTCTCCTCATGTCTCCTCATGTCTCCTCATGTCTCCTCATGTCTCCTCATGTCTCCTCATGTCTCCTCATGTCTCCTCATGTCTTCACATGTCTCCTCATGTCTCCTCATGTCTCCTCATGTCTCCTCATGTCTCCTCATGTCTCCTCATGTCTTCACATGTCTCCTCATGTCTCCTCATGTCTCCTCATGTCTCCTCATGTCTTCCTCATGTCTCCCTCATGTCTTCACATGTCTCCTCATGTCTCCTCATGTCTCCTCATGTCTTCACATGTCTCCTCATGTCCTCCTCATGTCTCCTCATGTCTTCACATGTTCTCCTCATGTCTCCTCATGTCTCCTCATGTCTCCTCATGTCTCCTCATGTCTCCTCATGTCTCACTCAATGTCTCCTCATGTCTTCACATGTCTCCTCATGTCTCCTCATGTCTCCTCATGTCTCCTCATGTCTCCTCATGTCTCCTCATGTCTTCACATGTCTCCTCATGTCTCCTCATGTCTCCTCATGTCTCCTCATGTCTCCTCATGTCTCCTCATGTCTTCACATGTCTCCTCATGTCTCCTCATGTCTCCTCATGTCTTCACATGTCTCCTCATGTCTCCTCATGTCTCCTCATGTCTTCACATGTCTCCTCATGTCTCCTCATGTCTCCTCATGTCTCCTCATGTCTCCTCATGTCTCCTCATGTCTCCTCATGTCTCCTCATGTCTTCACATGTCTCCTCATGTCTCCTCATGTCTCCTCATGTCTCCTCATGTCTCCTCATGTCTCCTCATGTCTTCACATGGTCTCCTCATGTCTCCTCATGTCTCCTCATGTCTTCACATGTCTCCTCATGTCTCCTCATGTCTCCTCATGTCTCCTCATGTCTCCTCATGTCTTCACATGTCTTCACATGTCTCCTCATGTCTCCTCATGTCTCCTCATGTCTCCTCATGTCTCCTCATGTCTTCACATGTCTCCTCATGTCTCCTCATGTCTCCTCATGTCTCCTCATGTCTCCTCATGTCTTCACATGTCTCCTCATGTCTCCTCATGTCTCCTCATGTCTCCTCATGTCTTCACATGTCTCCTCATGTCTCCTCATGTCTCCTCATGTCTCCTCATGTCTCCTCATGTCTCCTCATGTCTCCTCATGTCTCCTCATGTCTTCACATGTCTCCTCATGTCTCCTCATGTCTCCTCATGTCTCCTCATGTCTCCTCATGTCTCCTCATGTCTTCACATGTCTCCTCATTCTCCTCATGTCTCCTCATGTCTTCACATGTCTCCTCATGTCTCCTCATGTTCTCCTCATGTCTCCTCATGTCTCCTCATGTCTTCACATGTCTTCACATGTCTCCTCATGTCTCCTCATGTCTCCTCATGTCTCCTCATGTCTCTCAGGCTCCTCATGTCTTCACATGTCTCCTCATGTCTCCTCATGTCTCCTCATGTCTCCTCATGTCTCCTCATGTCTTCACATGTCTCCTCATGTCTCCTCATGTCTCCTCATGTCTCCTCATGTCTCCTCATGTCTCCTTCATGTCTTCACATGTCTCCTCATGTCTCCTCATGTCTCCTCATGTCTCCTCATGTCTCCTCATGTCTTCACATGTCTCCTCATGTCTCCTCATGTCTCCTCATGTCTCCTCATGTCTCCTCATGTCTCCTCATGTCTCCTCATGTCTTCACATGTCTCCTCATGTCTCCTCATGTCTCCTCATGTCTCCTCATGTCTCCTCATGTCTCCTCATGTCTCCTCATGTCTCCTCATGTCTTCACATGTCTCCTCATGTCTCCTCATGTCTCCTCAGGTCTCCTCATGTCTCCTCATGTTCTCATGTCTCACATGTCTCCTCATGTCTCCTCATGTCTCCTCATGTCTCTCATGTCTCCTCATGTTCCTCATGTCTTCACATGTCTCCTCATGTCTCCTCATGTCTCCTCATGTCTCTCATGTCTCCTCATGTCTCCTCATGTCTCCTCATGTCTCCTCATGTCTTCACATGTCTTCACATGTCTCCTCATGTCTCCTCATGTCTCCTCATGTCTCCTCATGTCTCCTCATGTCTCCTCATGTCTCCTCATGTCTTCACATGTCTCCTCATGTCTCCTCATGTCTTCACATGTCTCCTCATGTCTCCTCATGTCTCCTCATGTCTCCTCATGTCTCCTCATGTCTTCACATGTCTTCACATGTCTCCTCATGTCTCCTCATGTCTCCTCATGTCTCCTCATGTCTCCTCATGTCTCCTCATGTCTCCTCATGTCTCCTCATGTCTTCACATGTCTTCACATGTCTCCTCATGTCTCCTCATGTCTCCTCATGTCTCCTCATGTCTCCTCATGTCTTCACATGTCTCCTCATGTCTTCACATGTCTCCTCATGTCTCCTCATGTCTCCTCATGTCTCCTCATGTCTCCTCATGTCTTCACATGTCTCCCCATGTCTCCTCATGTCTCCACATGTCTCCACATGTCTCCTCATGTCTCCTCATGTCTCCTCATGTCTCCACATGTCTCCTCATGTCTCCTCATGTCTCCTCATGTCTCCCCATGTCTCCTCATGTCTCCACATGTCTCCACATGTCTCCTCATGTCTCCTCATGTCTCCTCATGTCTCCTCATGTCTCCTCATGTCTCCTCATGTCTCCTCATGTCTCCTCATGTCTTCACATGTCTCCTCATGTCTCCTCATGTCTCCTCATGTCTCCTCATGTCTCCTCATGTCTCCTCATGTCTTCACATGTCTCCTCATGTCTCCTCATGTCTCCTCATGTCTCCTCATGTCTCCTCATGTCTCCTCATGTCTTCACATGTCTCCTCATGTCTCCTCATGTCTCCTCATGTCTTCACATGTCTCCTCATGTCTCCTCATGTCTCCTCATGTCTTCACATGTCTCCTCATGTCTCCTCATGTCTCCTCATGTCTCCTCATGTCTCCTCATGTCTCCTCATGTCTCCTCATGTCTCCTCATGTCTTCACATGTCTCCTCATGTCTCCTCATGTCTCCTCATGTCTCCTCATGTCTCCTCATGTCTCCTCATGTCTTCACATGTCTCCTCATGTCTCCTCATGTCTCCTCATGTCTCCTCATGTCTCCTCATGTCTCCTCATGTCTTCACATGTCTCCTCATGTCTCCTCATGTCTCCTCATGTCTTCACATGTCTCCTCATGTCTCCTCATGTCTCCTCATGTCTTCACATGTCTCCTCATGTCTCCTCATGTCTCCTCATGTCTCCTCATGTCTCCTCATGTCTCCTCATGTCTCCTCATGTCTCCTCATGTCTTCACATGTCTCCTCATGTCTCCTCATGTCTCCTCATGTCTCCTCATGTCTCCTCATGTCTCCTCATGTCTTCACATGTCTCCTCATGTCTCCTCATGTCTCCTCATGTCTTCACATGTCTCCTCATGTCTCCTCATGTCTCCTCATGTCTCCTCATGTCTCCTCATGTCTTCACATGTCTTCACATGTCTCCTCATGTCTCCTCATGTCTCCTCATGTCTCCTCATGTCTCCTCATGTCTTCACATGTCTCCTCATGTCTCCTCATGTCTCCTCATGTCTCCTCATGTCTCCTCATGTCTTCACATGTCTCCTCATGTCTTCACTGTCTCCTCATGTCTCCTCATGTCTCTCATGTCTCCTCATGTCTCCTCATGTCTCCTCATGTCTCCTCATGTCTCCTCATGTCTCCTCATGTCTCCTCATGTCTCCTCATGTCTCCTCATGTCTCCTCATGTCTTCACATGTCTCCTCATGTCTCCTCATGTCTCCTCATGTCTCCTCATGTCTCCTCATGTCTCCTCATGTCTTCACATGTCTCCTCATGTCTCCTCATGTCTCCTCATGTCTTCACATGTCTCCTCATGTCTCCTCATGTCTCCTCATGTCTCCTCATGTCTCCTCATGTCTTCACATGTCTTCACATGTCTCCTCATGTCTCCTCATGTCTCCTCATGTCTCCTCATGTCTCCTCATGTCTTCACATGTCTCCTCATGTCTCCTCATGTCTCCTCATGTCTCCTCATGTCTCTCATGTCTTCAACATGTCTCCTCATGTCTTCACATGTCTCCTCATGTCTCACAGTCTCTCATGTCTCCTCATGTCTCCTCATGTCTCCTCATGTCTCCTCATGTCTCCTCATGTCTCCTCATGTCTTCACATGTCTCCTCATGTCTCCTCATGTCTCCTCATGTCTCCTCATGTCTCCTCATGTCTTCACATGTCTCCTCATGTCTCCTCATGTCTCCTCATGTCTCCTCATGTCTTCACATGTCTCCTCATGTCTCCTCATGTCTTCACATGTCTCCTCATGTCTCCTCATGTCTCCTCATGTCTCCTCATGTCTCCTCATGTCTTCACATGTCTTCACATGTCTCCTCATGTCTCCTCATGTCTCCTCATGTCTCCTCATGTCTCCTCATGTCTCCTCATGTCTCCTCATGTCTCCTCATGTCTTCACATGTCTTCACATGTCTCCTCATGTCTCCTCATGTCTCCTCATGTCTCCTCATGTCTCCTCATGTCTCCTCATGTCTCCTCATGTCTTCACATGTCTCCTCATGTCTCCTCATGTCTTCACATGTCTCCTCATGTCTCCTCATGTCTCCTCATGTCTCCTCATGTCTCCTCATGTCTTCACATGTCTTCACATGTCTCCTCATGTCTCCTCATGTCTCCTCATGTCTCCTCATGTCTCCTCATGTCTCCTCATGTCTCCTCATGTCTCCTCATGTCTTCACATGTCTTCACATGTCTCCTCATGTCTCCTCATGTCTCCTCATGTCTCCTCATGTCTCCTCATGTCTTCACATGTCTCCTCTCCCCATCTACCAGGGGGAGTGACTGCGAAACAAGCGATTCAGGTGCTGTTATTAGCAAACAGGTGGGCTGCGGAGGTCTTATGTCCATCAACTTAGATGGTTCTAGGACGACCTGTTTGCTAATAGCAGCTCCTCTCCCCATCTGCCAGGTCGAGGGACTGCAAAACAGCCGCTTCAGCGAGGTGGAGGAGGTGGTGTACCTGCGGTGGGTGAACGCGTGTCTGCGCTTTGAGTTGCGCCACAACAAGGCCATGGCGGGGGGGAAGGACTCTGCTCTCTCCCTCAACAACAACCGCAGCCCACGCTCCCAGGTACGGCTGCTGCTGCTGTTGCCTCGCGCCCCCAGGTACAGTTGCTGCTCCCAGCTGCTCCCAGTTGGTGGTGTACCTGCGGTGGGTGAATGCGTGTCTGCGGTTTGAGCTGCGCCACAACAAGGCCATGGCGGCCGGGGGGAAGGACTCTGCTCTCTCCCTCAACAACAACCGCAGCCTGCGCTCCCAGGTACATTTGCTGCTGTTGCCTGCGCTCCCAGGTACATTTGCTGCTGTTGCCTGCGCTCCCAGGTACATTTGCTGCTGTTGCCTGCGCTCCCAGGTACATTTGCTGCTGTTGCCTGCGCTCCCAGGTACATTTGCTGCTGTTGCCTGCGCTCCCAGGTACATTTGCTGCTGCTGCCTGCGCTCCCAGGTATATTTGCTGCTGTTGCCTGCGCTCCCAGGTACATTTGCTGCTGTTGCCTGCGCTCCCAGGTACATTTGCTGCTGTTGCCTGCGCTCCCAGGTACATTTGCTGCTGTTGCCTGCGCTCCCAGGTACATTTGCTGCTGTTGCCTGCGCTCCCAGGTACATTTGCGGCTTTCCTGGGCATTGCAATGATACCTTGAGACACTCTGCCTTCACGGCTAAAGCCCTCCCTTCCCTGTACAACGAGAATGCCTCTGCCGCTTCCTCTCTTAGCCGCGCTTTTTGAGCCGACTCAAACAGTGCTGCTGCCACTTGTCATCACCTCCCCTCGCTTGTCCCTCATTCCCCATCCTTGTACCCTTCCCCTTCCACCCTGTCCACCCCTCAGGACCGCGCGAAACACCTCATGCAGCAGTTTGCCGACGGCTACCCCACAGGGGAACCCTCTGGTGCTGCTGGTGGTGGTGGTCGGTACAACGATGATGACTCCGACTCCCTCTCTCTCTACAACGACTCTGCCTCCTTCGCCTCCTCGCCCGACCGCGCCAGTGCTGCTGCTAACCCTGACCACCTTGTCCCTCCCCTTCCTCCTCGTTTTCCCCGCTCCCTTCCTTTTCCCCCCTCTCTACCCCTCAGGACCGCGCGAAACACCTCATGCAGCAGTTTGCCGACGGCTACCCCACAGGGGAGCCCTCAGGTGCTGCCGGTCGGTACAACGATGACGACTCCGACTCCCTCTCTCTCTACAACGATTCTGCCTCCTTCGCCTCCTCGCCCGACCGCGGGAGCGCTGCTGCCACAGACGAGCCATTTCACTCCTCCCCGGATAGCTATGGGCGTGGTGCTGCTGGTGGGGGTGGGGGAGGAGCGGGAGGTTGAGGAAGGAAGGCGAGAACGCCTGGGCCTGGGACGGGAGGGAGAGGGGGAGGATGGGGAGTGGGCGTGGGAGTGGCGTCTGGTGCTGGTGCTGGTGGTGGCGGTTTCGGGGAGGGTGGTGGTGGGGGTGGTGGAGGTGGTGTGGGTGCGGGTGCGGGAGGGGGAGGGGGAGGGAAGGATGCGCTTGGGCGGACGATGTCTCTGCAGGCGATGTCGCAGCAGGATGCAGCGAGCAAGCTCAAGAATTTTCTCTCCTGGCGTCGCAACAAGTCCGCCAGAGACCTCGAGGAAACTGCTGCTGCTGCTGGGGGTGTTGGGGGTGCTGGTGGGGGTGCTGGTGGTGTGGGTGGTGGTGGTGCTGGTGGTGGTGGTGCTGGTGGTGGTGGTGGTGGTGGTGGTGGTGGTGGTGGTGGTGGTGGTGATGGGAGTTCTGGTGCTGGTGGTGCTGATGCTGTTTCTGAAGCTGCTGCTAGGGCCACAGCCAAATACGAAGGGGAGCGAAGGGCACGGCACAGAGGAGGAGGAAGGGAAGGAGGAGGAGGAAGGGAAGGAGGAGGAGGAGGCGGGGGAGGCGGGGGAGGAGGAGGGGGAGGCGGAGGAGTAGAGGGTGGAGAATTTGGAGGGGAGGGAGGGCAGGATGAGGAGAGAAAGGAGGCGATTCTCCGAAAGCTCAAGATGAAGCAGCCTCCTCTAGGCATGATGAATCCCATGGGCGATTTCACCGTCGGTGACTCCTTCAATCTCGTCCGTCGATCCGTGTCCCGCCCCGACAAGGACAATCTGCACCGTCGATTCCCGGGGTTCAAGGATCGGCATCTCCTGGCCCAGGAACGGCAGATATTTAACCTCCAGCAGGCCGAAGCTGCGGCTGCCCTGAAAAAATCGGGTATTTCGGCAAACGCGTCCGTTGGGAAAACGCCGCGCGTTGCCGTCCCGGAGAAGCGCGAGCCGAGAGTGCCGTCCGCGCCGCCCAGGCCCCGCACCACCCGCCCGAGCCATCTGGACGAGGAAATGGAGGTGACGCACGCCGCCGCCCTGCTCAACAAAGCAGTGGGCGGCGCAGTGCCGCTTCCGCCGCCCCTGCCGCCGGCCGGCAGGGTTCCTTTGCCGCCCGCAATGCCCAGAGGGAAACTGGGTGGAAGAGGGGGGATGGACGATGAGGGGATGCGGAGGGCGCCTGAGGTGGTGGCGTTCTATCAGCAGCTGATGAGGATGCAGAGGGAGGGGCTTGGAGGTGTTGGGGGGAGGGAGGCGGAGGAGGGGTTGAGCATGACGGCTGTGAGAGGGGATATGATTGGCGAGATTGAAGGACGCTCGTCCCACCTGCTCGCAGTGAGTGCATTTTTGTTTTCCGGATTTTGTAAGAATATGGAACTGGAAAAAACGGGAAGTGTTGGCCAGTTGCAACTGAGTTTCTTCCCCCCCCCCCCCCTTCTTTTTTTTTCTGTTCTCCTGTTTTTCTAGCTGCGATTTTTCACACCCGGGCTAATGTTTCCTCTTCTCTCAACTGCACTCGCCTCACTCCTTCACACAACCCTTCACACACCCTTCTCCCACTCCCCCCAACAGATCAAGCAGGACGTGGAGATGCAGGGTGATTTCATCAACACGCTGAGCTGCTTGCACCTAAATCTCTGCCCTCACACCTTCTCCTTTCCACTCCTTGCACTCCCACACCCTCGTTGCTCCCACTGCCCCCCCCAACAGATCAAGCAGGACGTGGAGATGCAGGGCGAGTTCATCAACACGTTAGCGAGGGAGGTGCGCGACGCCTCCTACTATGACATCGAGGACGTTGTGGCGTTCGTCAACTGGCTCGATGAGGAGCTCGCCTTCCTGGTAGGTTTCACTCCAAGAGCATCTGGTATGGCCCTACGGACAGTGTCAATCCCACCTGTAAGGGCTGCCGTTCCTGATGTGGCCTGCTGTGAGCCCCACCATCAATCACCTCGTTGGCGAGGGAGGTGCGCGACGCCTCCTACTTTGACATCGAGGACGTGGTGGCGTTCGTCAACTGGCTGGATGAGGAGCTCGCCTTCCTGGTAGGTTCGCTTTGATTCCACTTCGACTACTTTTTAGGCGCCTCAAAAGTCCGGCTGGACGAGGAGCCAATTGATTCATGTCCCTGGCGTTCCTGGTATGTCCCTGGCGTTCCTGGTATGTCCCTGGCGTTCCTGGTATGTCCCTGGCGTTCCTGGTATGTCCCTGGCGCTCCTGGTATGTCCCTAGCGTTCATGGTATGTCCCTAGCGTTCCTGGTATGTCCCTAGCGTTCATGGTATGTCCCTGGCGTTCCTGGTATGTCCCTAGCGTTCCTGGTATGTCCCTAGCGTTCCTGGTATGTCCCTAGCGTTCCTGGTATGTCCCTAGCGTTCCTGGTATGTCCCTAGCGTTCCTGGTATGTCCCTAGCGTTCCTGGTATGTCCCTAGCGTTCCTGGTATGTCCCTAGCGTTCCTGGTATGTCCCTAGCGTTCCTGGTATGTCCCTAGCGTTCCTGGTATGTCCCTAGCGTTCCTGGTATGTCCCTAGCGTTCCTGGTATGTCCCTAGCGTTCCTGGTATGTCCCTGGCAGCAGCTGCATCAAGCCCGCTCTGATTCCAGCACTTAGTATCTGGGAGCGACGAGTGTCCATCCCACCTGCGAGGGGCTCACCTTCGGATTTGTTTCCGCAGTAAGCAGTATCAACGCCACCCTACTAGACAAACCCCCCCCTCCTCCCCCACACACCCCTTGGTGAACGAGCGGGCACTGCTGACAGACAAGACAGACGCCCTGAGGGAGGCGGCTCCCCTTCTCCTCTCAATCTCCCCTCCCTCATCTCTCCTCCCCTCCCCCTCCCCATTCCTCTCCCCACACACAGGTGGACGAGCGAGCAGTGCTGAAGCACTTTGACTGGCCCGAGGCCAAGGCGGACGCGCTGAGGGGAGCAGCGTTTGAGTTCCAGGATTTGGTGCAGCTGGAGTGAGAGGGCCGAACCCAACCCTCCTGTCCCTCTCTCCTCTCTCCCCTTCCCCTTCTTCAACCCCAGGTGGACGAGCGAGCAGTGCTGAAGCACTTTGACTGGCCCGAGGCCAAGTCAGACGCCCTGAGGGAGGCAGCTCTCCCTTCTCCCCTTACTCTCCCCCTCCCTCATCTCCCCTCCCCATCCCCCCCCTCCCTCCAGGTGGACGAGCGAGCAGTGCTGAAGCACTTTGACTGGCCCGAGGCCAAGGCGGACGCGCTGAGGGAAGCAGCGTTTGAGTTCCAAGACCTAGTGAGGCTGGAGCGCGATCTGGGCAGCTACATGGATGACCCTGACGTGCCCACCGACCAGGCTCTGAAGAAGATGTTCCAAGTGCTGGAGAAGTGAGTGGGGGTGGGGAGGGGGGGGGGAGTGGCGGTATGGTGGTGAGTAGTGTATAGATGCATCAGTAGGCAAGCCTGACGTGCCCACCAACCAGGCTTTGAAGAAGATGTTCCACGTGCTGGAGAAGTGAGTGGGGCTGTGCCTAAGAAGGGGATGCTGTCATACGGTATTTGTATCGCGTGTCCCTCTCTTGCTGTGTTTGAGGGGTGGAGCAGAGCACATACGCATTCCTGTGTTTCCCCTTTGTCCCTGTTTTACTCAACTGCTAAGAATTTGGGTTCTGAGATCGTTTTGAGCACTTAGTTGTACACAGAGCGGAAATCTACTGCTGTTTTTTCCTTTGCTTTAAGCCTACTGCACGCACGCAGCTCACTGAGCTATGTCTGGATCTCGAGGGGTGGAGCAGAGCACATACGCATTCCTGCGCAACCACATGTGCTCACACACAGCCACATTCATGGAAGTAAGGCCTCCGCAGCCCACCTGTCCTCTTTTGACAGTTCCTGCGCAACCACATGTGCGCACACACAGCCACATCATAAGTCGTCTCATCTTATGGTTGCATGATTTGTTGAGTGTGCTTCTATCGAGTGTCCTTCGTTTTCTCTCCACATGTGCAGGGTGGAGCAGAGCATATACGCGCTGCTGCGCACGAGAGACGTGGTCAAGTCCCATTGCCCTGTGTGCTGAAAAGGGTATCAAACGTCTCTCTCCATGCTGTGTCACGTGTCACATGGTATCCCTCTCTCTCACTATTGCAGGGTGGAGCAGAGCATATACGCGTTGCTGCGCACAAGAGACATGGCGATCTCACGCTACGCTGAGTTTGGAGTCCCCACCTACTGGATCCTTGATAACGGCCTCGTGGGCAAGGTGAGGGCAGGTGGTGGTGAGGGGGTGATGAGTGGGGAGGTGTTGCAGTCAGTAGGGTGAGAGAGCTCCTGTGGTCATCCCTTTCTGGGCCGACTTTGGAGTACCCACCTACTGGATACTTGATAACGGCCTTGTGGGCAAGGTGAGGGAAGCAAATGGCGTAAGGTGAGGGGAGATAGGTGAGGGGCTGATGAGTGGGGAAGTGTTGCAGTCAGTAGGGTGAGAGAGCTCCTGTGATCATTTCTTGCTATGCTGAGTTTGGAGTGCCCACCTACTGGATCCTCGATAACGGCCTTGTGGGCAAGGTGAGGGGAGGGGGCAGATGGGGCAAGGTGATGGTGACGGGAATGAATAGCAGCGATGGTGATGGTGACGGGAATGAATAGCAGCGATGGTGATGGTGACGGGAATGAATAGCAGCGATGGTGATGGTGACGGGAATGAATAGCAGCGATGGTGATGGTGAGGCCCAGGCAAGAGAGTGCCCTCCTACTGGATCCTCGATAACGGCCTTGTGGGCAAGGTGAGGGGAGGGGCAGATGGTGAGGGGAATAGATGATGGTGAGGGTGAGGGGAATTTAAGATGCTAAATCACGCGGGTCACATTGGAGCTCGACAAGCTAAGGAGCGACCCAGAGATCGAGCCCATCTGCTCATCTTCCACCTCCCTCTCCTCTCCCCTCCCCTCCTCTGCCTCTACACAGATTTGTCTAGCGTCGGTGCGTCTGGCATGGTGCTACATCACGTTTTGACACGTCTCAAAAGTTTTGAGACGTCTCAGTTTTGAGACTTCTCAAAACTAGTGCTACATCATGCGGGTCACATCGGAGCTCGACGTTGCAGGGTGAGATAAGAGACGTTTTGAGACGTCTCAAAAAGTCACTCATATCACACGGTGCTACATCGCGCGGGTCACATCGGAGCTCGACAAGCTGGGCAGCGAGCCTCTGAAAGAGCCCCTCTGTTGATCTTCCACCTTCCTTCCTCTTCTTCCCTGCCCCAACAACAGATTCGTCTGGCATCGGTGCGTCTGGCCCACTGCTACATCACGCGCGTCACATCGGAGCTGGACAAGCTAGGCAACGAGCCGGGGAGCGAGCCCCTCTGTTGGTCTTCCGGTTCCCTCTCCTCACCTCCCCTCCTCTCCTCCCCTCTTCTCTCCTCTCCTCCCCTCCTCTCCTCTCACTTCTTGTCCTCTCCTCTCCTCTCCTCTCCTTTACTCTCCCCTCCTCTTGCATCTCCTCCCCCTACTCTCCCCTGCCTCAACGCACATCCGTCTGGCATCAGTGCGTCTGGCCCGCTGCTACATCACGCGTGTCACATCGGAGCTCGACAAGCTAGGCAACGAGCCAGAGAGTGAGCCCACCTGTTGATCGTCCGCCTTGCCCCCCCTCTTCTCTTCCCTTCCCTCACCTCAGATCCGTCTGGCATCAGTGCATCTGGCGCGGTGCTACATCACGCGGGTCACATCGGAGCTCGAGAAGCTAGGCAACGAGCCGGGGAGCGAGCCCACCTGTTAACCCTTTCCAACTCCCTCCTCTCCTCTCCCCTGCCTGAACACAGATTCGTCTGGCATTGGTGCGTCTGGCGCGATGCTACATCACGCGGGTCACATCGGAGCTCGACGAGCTAGGCAACGAGCCAGAGAGCGGCCCCTCTGCTAACCCTTTCCAACTCCCTCCTCTCCTCTCCCCTTCCGCAACAACAGATCCGTCTAGCATCAGTGCGGCTGGCCCGCTGCTACATCACGAGGGTCACATCAGAGCTGGACAAGCTAGGCAACGAGCCGGAGAGCGAGCCCATCCGCGAGTTCCTGCTGCTGCAGGCCGTGCGATTCGCCTTCCGCACACACCAGGTGCGTTCCCTGAGATGTTGCTCGCTCCCTGAGATGTTCCGCACACACCAGGTGTGATTAACCAGCTTCAAGCTGCCTGCTGCTCTATCACACCTCACTCACTCCCCATCCATTCCCCATCAACTCCCCATCCACTCCCCATCAACTCCCCATCCACTCCCTATGCCAACTCGTATGGTTACCCCCTCGTGTTGTTACTCTCGTTGTTACTGTCTCCTGCTATAACCAGCTTGTGTATTCGAGTAACTGCACATGCCCACTCACACTCCCTCCCCTTTACTCTAATCTCGAGCCAGCCTCGAGTGTTGAGACGTCTCACAACCTGTGCTGTCTCTCCCCGCTACCGCCGTGTGCAGTTTGCAGGAGGGTTTGACGCATACAGCATGCGGGCATTTGATGAGCTCCGAGCTTTAGCCAACATCGAGTATCGAGATGTCTCACAACCTGTGATGTTTCCCCCCACTGCTGTTGCCTGTCATTCCCGTGATCTACCGCCGTGTGCAGTTTGCAGGAGGGTTTGATGCAGACAGCATGCGGGCATTCGATGAGCTTCGAGCACGGGCCAACCTCGGAAGCAGTGCCAGCCTCGGCCCCCCTACTGCTTCCGCTGGTGCTGGTGCTGCTTCTGGTGCTGCTGATATTGGTGCTGCCGCTGGTGCCTCTGCTGCTGCTGATGGCATTGACAGTGCAACCGCAGGCGCTGATCCTAATGATGCAGATGGTGGTGGTGTTGGTGGTGGTGTTGGTGCTGGAGCATTGCTGAATGAGCAGTCTGAGATAGCTGATGCAGATACATCTGATTTGCTGGCAGATGCCTTGGCAGTTGCTAGTGATGTGGGTGGTGGTACACCCGTTGACGAGGGTTTGTAGTTTTCTCTTCTTTTTTTACTTGACGTGCTGTGTAGAAAGGCCATTGCTCTTTGCGAGGTTACGTGTAATTCTGTTTTTTTACCAACATGTTTTTCTCAGTGGTACATAGTGGCATGGCATGGTTGAATGCAGTGTGTTGAAGGGCATGCACTCATGTTACCGTTACCAGGGTGAAATACCCTCACCATAATGGTCGGTTTTGAAGAGAACCCTTATAAACGGTACTAGCATACATATGTATACAGCTTACTAATAGAAGTGCTTGCTTTCTGTTACCGCATTCACTAGATTACTCCTGGTCTCCGCCAATTTCACGTCCTACGACTGTTTTCGGGTAACATCCCTAACCCTTGTCTTGGCTTCATATCAACAACATCCCAAATGTAACAAATATGAAATATTACGCTGCATGACATGTCGATGTAATCTCCAGCCTTGTATTTCGACCACAACACATCAACCGGAATTTCCATCGAGACTCACTTTGTGTTCCCACCAAGGGAGTGTTCCTTGCCTCTTAGGGCGTGTTCCTACGGCCACTTATCAGACCACCACTTATCAAACTTGTGTGGTTCAACGTGTTTCAGTGTGATTTATTGTGATTACGCGCGCTACAGAGCGGTGCGATGCGAATTTGACTAGAGGTTTTCCTTATAAGAGGCCACATGAATACGCCCTATCAAAGGAACCCCTTATGATACTGTAATGTTATCGAGATTCCGTAATAGAACACCTCTTGTCAGGCACTTCACCCAACCCAACCTTAGCACAACAGAGGGCAGTCGCCCGACGTCAATTGGACGTGCAACATCACCGAATGACGTCAGAAGATGACATGCAAAGTGGCGTTACGAGTCGCGGCACGGTTTATCAAACTGTTGCGTGACAGTCGCCACTCTTTAGCAAGACCTCGGAAGTGCAATCTCCGCCACGTAACCCCGACACCCTACGTTGACGCTCCACGTGGAAACGCCAGCAGCAGGGCACCAACACAAGAGCATCTCATCATGCACATCTCACAAACAGACATGTTGTCCAGGTTCACCGCCTTCATCTGCATTTTCGAGGAAAGGAACAATTTCGTAGGCTCAAAAGCTTGGCAAATCAGGTTTAATATCCGTCGCTCTCACACTTGGGACCACGGCTCGCAAGCGGAAAGGTAGTGGTGGTGCGGCGGAGGACGTGACCTTTTGCGTAGAATACTTGCAATATGTTGCATGGGTGAATGCCGAGCTAGCATAGGGAATTACTCGGGGACGGCCCCTATGTAACGTCAGAGCAAACAACGCGACTCGAGTTCGCTCCACTGTCACAAACCGCACCAGCCCCAGACCGCGTAAACAAGGTGCGACCAAGACATACGACTCTGAGGCCGCCGCCGACGACACGGACAATAACGACGTGAATGACAACAACGAATCTGACAGTGACGACCCTAACCTTGCATGGAATGGTAGCGCGGAGTATACGGGCCCTACCAAAGAGCCCGGAAATGTCACGATACCTAGTGCATAGGTTACTAGGGTTTGGGGGTGGCAAGAGTATCTAGAGGAAAGAGACTGCATCATGGAGAAGGAGAACAAATAGGAATATGCAAAGGGCAAATGGTACACCATCTACAGCAAATGAGATGTTATGCACACAACAGTCTACACTGCATATAGTTATACAAAAGGTATATAATGTCAAATTTATATCTGCTATGGTCTATTTAGGTTGTAGTGGGATAGCTCTTAGTGGGTACAACACTTATGTGTTTCCTATATGTACCCATCTCATTTCTAGTTCATTCATTCTTTCGTCTATCATTCTCACATGATATAGAGCTAGTTTCGAGATTTTTTAAAAAGGGCCCACCACTGAAATTTCTCCCCTGCCTACTTGCCGCGCGCTTCGCGCCTTCCCTTCGAGGCCCGTCACGGCCCCTGCGCCCGCCCTTAGAGCCTGCGCCCGCCCCGTAAGGCCCCTTAAGGCCTCGTTAGGCCCCGTAAGGCCCCTTTCGGCCCCGTTTAGGGCGCGGTTTAAGGCCCCGTAAGGCCCCGTTATGCCCCGTAAGGCCCCGTCAGGCCCCGTTCGGCCCCGTTTAAGGCCCCGTTAGGCCCCGACAGGCCCCGTTAGAGGCCCCGTACGGCCCCGTCAGGCCCTGTTAGAGGCCCCGTACGGCCCCGTCAGGCCCCATTTGGCCCCGTTTAAGGCCCCGTAAGGCCCGTCAGGCCCCGTTAGAGGCCCCGTCAGGCTCCTTCAGGCCCAGTTAGAGGCCCCGTAAGGCCCCGTAAGGCCCGTCAGGCCCCGTTATAGGCCCCGTCAGGCCCCGTTATAGGCCCCGCACGGCCCCGTTATCGGCCCCGTACGGCCCCGTTATAGGCCCCGTCAGGCCCCGTTATAGGCCCCGTCAGGCCCCGTTATAGGCCCCGTTCGGCCCCGTCAGGCCCCATTTGGCCCCGTTTCAGGCCCCGTAAGGCCCGTCAGGCCCCGTTATAGGCCCCGTACGGCCCCGTACGGCACCGTTATAGGCCCCGTCAGGCCCCGTTATAGGCCCCGCACGGCCCCGTTATAGGCCCCGTCAGGCCCCGTTATAGGCCCCGTACGGCCCCGTTATAGGCCTCGTCAGGCCCCGTTATAGGCCCCGTTCGGCCCAGTCAGGCCCCGTTAGAGGCCCCTTCAGGCCCAGCCGGCCCTGCTGCGGCCCTGTCGCAGCTCTTCCCCGACACTGCCCCGGCCCTGCTCCTGAACTGCCTCGGCCCCGCTCCTGAACTGCCTCGGCCCTGCTCCTGACCTGCCCCTGAACTGCCCCGGCCCTGGCCCGGCTCTGCCCAGGCCCTGCCCCGGCCCTGCCCCGGCTCTGCCCCGGCCCTGCCCCTGAACTACCCCGGCCCTGCTTCTGCACTGCCCCAGCCCTGCTCCTGAACTGCCCCGGCTCTGCCCCGGCCCTGCCCCGGCCCTGCCCCTGAACTGCCCCGGCCCTGGCCCGGCTCTGCCCTGGCCCTGCCCCGGCCCTGCTCCTGAACTGCCCCGGCCCTGCCCCGGCCCGGCCCTGCTCCTGAACTGCCCCGGCCCTGCCCCGGCCCTGCTCCTGAACTGCCCCGGCCCTGCCCCGGCCCTGCTCCTGAACTGCCCCGGCCCTGCCCCGGCCCTGCTCCTGAACTGCCCCGGCCCTGCTCCGGCCCTGCTCCTGAACTGCCCCGGCCCTACCCCGGCCCTGCCCCAGCCTCTCCCCTGGTAAGAGCGCCGCGCTGCCGAGCCACACCACCCTGCCGAGCTGCGCCGCCCTACCTAGCCTGCTTAGCCGAGTTCCACTGCTGCTACTGCTAGCCTGCTGCTTCTCCTGTCATGGCTAGTCTCAATGTTCTTACCTTTGATGCTGAGGGTCGGGCTGTTGACTTTGAGGTCTGGCTAGATGATCTGCAGCTTTTCCTACAGTGCGATAGCAAGGATGGTCTCTCACTGTTCGATCTCACTTCTGGCGCCTCTACTGCCCCTACTGCTGATGCTGACAGTACTGTTCGCTCGCGGTGGCTCACGCGCGATGCTGCTGCTCGTCTTGCTGTGCGCAACCACCTGCCGTCTACTGAGCGCACGCACTTTAGTCAGTACAAGAGTGCTAGGGCTCTGTACGACGCTGTAGTTGCACGCTACTCCTCCCCTACCACTGCTGCCCTCAGCCGCCTCATGCTGCCGTACCTTTTTCCTGACCTTGCCGCCTTTTCCACAGTTGCTGACCTAGTTGCTCACCTCCGCACTAGTGACGCTCGCTACCGCGCTGCCCTTCCCACTGCGTTTCTTCCCACGAACTCCCCCCCCATGTACATCACCCTTTACTACCTAGTCACCCGCCTCCCTGACTCTCTCTCCTCAGTCAGGGATCACTTTCTCTCCCTTTGCCCTACCGAGCTGACTGTCGACTTGCTAGAGGAGCGCCTAGCTGCAGCTGAGAAGAGTATCTTAGCTGTTGGGGCTTCTCGCGGCGACCGTCGCACCCCCTTCTTTGAGGGGTGTTCCCCTGTCCCCCTTCTCCCCTCTGTTGCCTCTGCTACTGCTGTCGACCTCGTTGGCACTGAGGAGGTCGGCGCTGCGTCTGCCCCTAGTGAGCGACGCCGCACTGGCAAGGGCAAGGGAAGCAAGGGTGGTGGAGGGGGCGGTGGAGGAAGCGGTGGAGGAGGTGGAGGTAGTGGTGGGGGTGGTCCCGGGGGTGGGGGCTTCGGTGGCGGCGGTGGACGCCGTGGAGGCGGTGGTGGAGGCGGTGGAGGCGGCGGCAGCGGTGCTGGAGGTAGCGGAGGAGGTGGTGCTGGTCGCGGTGCCGCCACGCAGCGTGGAGGCCTTGGTGGCGGCCAGCGTCAGCAGCAGCTGCGCACCCGTGAGACCCCGTCTGTTCAGCAGCTTTGTGAGTGGTACGCTGGGCGTGGGAGGTCTGGGGGTGCAGGTCCCTGTGCGTACGTTCTTCGCACAGGCACTCGTAGCGGGGAGGTGTGTGGTCTCCCACACACCACGCAGCGCTGCTTCGGCCGCCTGACTGACGCTTGGCGTACCCAGTTTCCTGACGCTGTTGAGCTTCCTCGTTGGTATGATCTGCTTCTGCAGAATGTGCCTATCTTTGATCTAGATTTTGATGCTATCCTTGCTGCCATGTATGCTCTTGCTGATATTACTGAGG